TCTCTCTCTCTCTCTCTCTCTCTCTCTTCAATGAACAATGAACATACATTAGTAATAATTAGTCATTGATTCCAGGAGGGTGTACACTCTTAAGGGAATGCACCTTTAGAGTTCAGTAATTTAAATAACTTTAAAATGCAAATATGAACTTCTAACTATCAAAAAGGTTCAATGTTGAACTTAAAGGTTCTAAAATGTTCCATTGGGTATTTGGTAGTTATTTTTTAGAACCTTTGTTGTGGTAAAAGGTTCATTTTAAAATTCTTTCATGAACCTTTTCTAAGATGTAAAGACTAGACTGATGAGGCCTTTTGCTCGTTACACTAATTCACATACTCAGTATTAATGAATGTATTCTTATTCAGTTACTAATTGTGATGTAAGGTGCAGTTGTGACCTCCATCAGTTTAACCCAAGTGTTCAGGCCTTGACATATTCTGTGAGTAGTTGATATAGACACATATCTCTAAATTGCACAATAACCTTGAAGGGCACCGTGTTGTTGTCCATTTTTAGAGCACAAATTAAATATCACAAAAATCAAAGTTCAGTTTTATGTTCATGAATGAACAAGAAGCTTCATTCAGTGTTAAATTGACAAGGTGAAGTGAAATTCTTACTCTTAAAATAGAAATAGAGTATACCTAATCTCTATGTCCTTCTCTGGAATCATAGAGCTTCATCTCTTGTCTTTGTCTTTGAACTTTTCCCCTCAGTAATGTAGCACGTCTTTCAAGCGCTGTAGTCTGTAGTATGTCTCTAGATGGCGCTAGAATGTAAGAAAAAGACAACGAAAGCATGAGAACAGAGGAGAGCAAAAGAGTGAAAGTGTAGTAAACTCTTTTATTCATACAGAATATTTATTCATTTATTCATAGAGAATATAGCATATGACTACCAATAAATAATTATATATGCAGGTGGATGCTGCACACTGGTGGTGGTTGAGGAGAGACCCCCCCCTCCATATGATTGTAAAGCGCTTTGGTGTACAGCACAATAAAGCGCTATATAAATGCCTCATTCATTAATTCATTTAAATGCATTGTTTAAATGTTATTATAAGGCTATGATTAGGCTGATTAAATTAGCTATTTTTATTATAATTTATAATAAAATTATAAACAATGTTAGTATAAAATGCTATGGTAAACACCCATGGCCGTGGGAACTAGGGGTGCTGAGGGTGCTGCAGCTATTTTACTAGTCTATGAATATACTTTACTATTCTATAATACTCTACTATTCTATTCTACTAGTCTACTTCTCCCTCTCACACTTGCAGAATTTCACTTGAAATGTTCACACGATATTATCTTAATTTTATCCCCAAGATACTTAATTTTTGTGATAGTTTTGTGATTAATTATTTATTAAACTGACCAGAAATATAGCCTAGTGCGATTGTATTTTACTTGCACGCCTCGCATCCCTACTTCTCCCCCTCACACTCGCAGAATTTCATGTGAAATGTTCACGCGATATTACCGTAATTTTACATTCCGACTTGTAAAAACCATTCAAGTCCTCGTCCTTTTTATGAGCCATTTTCTCACTTCTCAAGATGGCCCTGGCAATCACATAAGCACAGCTCTTTAATTGTGCTCTAGTCTCTGGTCAAACGCGCTCAAACCCCTGTAGCCTAATGTAATCTATTAACTACGCACATCATATACAGGGCCGCATTAAGACCGCACTGGGCCCTGGGGCTATGACTTGTGGTGGCTTTGGCGGTCGGCGCTCCAGTCAATCTACTCCACAGCTAATCACGGGCCCCCTCCTTGCTCGGGCCCCGGGGCTTCAGCCCTGCCTAGCCCTATGGTTAAAACGGCCCTGATCATATATAAATACAAATTCAGTCTTATTTAAATATCTTGCTCATAAAAAGACTGAATTTGTATTTAACCTGATTACGTTTAATAAAAAGACATTTTAAGTTTAATTATAACGCCGCATGTCCTCGATTATACAAACAACGAACAAATTATACAGCGAGCAAAGAACGTTTACATTATCAAAGAATATCACTGAATTCAGTCTAGCGTGAGTGTAAGCACTCTAAAAAAGCTATAAGTTATAATCAGTGATGTTGTCTGCAGTGTATTATGAATTAGTCTCTTATATTTACATCGCATGTAGCCTACATCTGCACTTTGTTGTTTCTGAGAGAATTCGCCAAAGTGCACTGAACAAAACTTTTCCTTATCAGTGTTGATAATATTTAGTAAAATCCCCTTCAATAATAGAAATGTTAAAGAAAACATTCTTGAACTAAAATCACAAAAGCACAAATATATATTGGTTCGCATATAACTCTTCATTTGTATATTAATTTTTGTTTTGAGTTTGGGCTGATTCATATTAGGATTTTGTCAAAAATCCCCCACCATGGCAACATCAAGCCCCGCCCCCAGCACCCCCAGATAAAATATGTTCCCACGGCTATGTAAACACCTACTTGTTTAAATTTACCTATTTAACATTTTTAAAATATATGTACATTTCCTGTAAAATATTTAGCAGTAAAATGCCTACAGTTATGCCTAAATATTCAAACTGTCTTTTGGGGGTACATTTTTGGCAACCAACGCTGCCCTTTTTTTTAATGAGTTTGAGTAATTAAACTGTAAAAGATTTGATTATTATTTTTTACAGTGCAGCTAGTAAATATTAACACACTATAAAGTGAAAAACAATATATCACACTGTTTGTGGTCCTTTTCTACACAGGTTTCCTTTGTGTCTATGGTAATCAGTCTTGTATTTCATTGACAATGTTTGGACCTGGGCCTTTATTCTGGCATGCAGCTAGTCTTTTAGTTCATCAAGGAATCCTGATTATGAATTGGGTTTATTATGTGCTGTAATTTAATGCCTATTTAAACAGACTACCTTCAATTTAGGTAGAAAGCAATATGACCTTATGGTTTCTCTACAGTTCACATGAAGCACATTGTGATAAGAGATTGTTTGATTAGGAAAGGAATACTGATAGTACCTGATCTAGAAGAGCTTTTCGTTTTCTCTCAAGCACTTGATCAGAATCCACAGCATGAGCAGAAGTCATCGCCATCGGCCTTGTTCTGCTGGGGCTTTGTTTTCTCCTCTGCCTCTGACATTCAGATGGACCGGCTGCCTTTTGGAGAGAAAATCACACTTGGATGACAAGACCCAACAGCAGCTGTGCTCTTGTCTTCTCTCGTCCCAGAGATCACAACACAGCAGTGAGTAATTGCATGGGTTTTCCTGAATTGGCCAGTAATCATTCTCAAATGCCAAAGAAACTTAGCTTGCATGATTACTAAAAGAGTGTAAATTAGAGTAATAATCCACAAGATGCTGATGATTTTACCATGGGTAAAGGACATGGGTCATTCCTACTCTTCGATACATTTTCATGTCTCTGTCATAATATTTTGGATAAAATATCTCACTCTAGAAAAACTCCTTCCTTTCTGATAAGACTACAGAAATACATTGGCTACAACTGGCTTGTTGCTTTTGAAAATGGCAGAGCTATTAATATGATACAATGTGTTAATGTGCGATAAATACTTTATTTATTATGGTAGCTGGAAAAAACAAACAAACAAACAAACAAACAAGTAATCCAAGTAATAATATATGCATATTGAAGCTTTAATATAGAATGTGTTTATTGTAATTTTTACAGCATCCAAATTTAGAGGTGGAACTGTTTTATAATGTCACTTAAGTACACGGACAGCCATTAGATTTTTGTCAGTCTCTGTTCAGTTTCCCAGAAACCCATTTCATAAGGCTATTATTTCTCAGCACCTCAATGCGACTGTACAGATAATTCCCTCCTGCTGCTGGCACTTCTTATGCAATACTGGCCTCTTATGATGCTGGGCACTTATTATTACACAACTCTTCCTGTGCACCACTGACTAAGGAATGCACCAACAAAAAAGGTGCAGCACTGGTTAAGGTTTGACGTGAAATGCATTGCTTACATTGTTTCAAAGGCTTAAGAACATATGCAACTGGTGTCCTGTAGATATAGAATAATGTTAAACAGATGGTATTTAAGAACATTTCTCACAAATTCATATTACAGTTATGTATGGGAACAGATGCTAATGAAAATATCTTTATTTTTCCTTCATGGAAAAACACTATCAAATGTCTACACTAATCAAGTAATGAATAAGCCAATAAGAATGACAGTATGAGACATATATGTGTTTAATAAGTAACACAAATAGGAGAGCTAACTGTCCTTTTTCTTGTGTAAGTACAGGCACTTCATCAGTTCATGGTGTGTCCATCTCTGGAAAAGGCCAGGCTGGCTGGCAAACATTGCTATATTTTACAGGCTCGGGCTGTTCAGGAAGTGGATGCTTTGTGGCCATCCACAAAGAGCATTAGAGGAGAGCACACATTAATCCCTTTTGTTTCCACAGCAATAAGAGAAGGTGAAGGGGCACACAGTTATCTTGTCTGTTAAATAAGGAAGTGTCTTTGAAAGATGACTGGAAGTGGTGCTTTAGTGGTGCTTTTCCTCACTCTAGCTGCCGTGTTTGACTCTATGTGTTTCGTTGTGAAAGCGAAACTACTTTGTTTGGCCTTCCAAAAGAGGACACAACTAGAAATCAGTGGTTAAGTTGTTTTTACAACACTGTTCCAGAACAGTTCAACCCAAATATCCAGATGTGTGCAGCACATTTTA